TGTGTAAAATAAATATAACACACGTGTAAATACCGAATAGTATCTCTAGTGTGAGAAACTGAAAGTGTAAATAAGGATGAAAATGATTAAAACGAATAATTGATAATTTGAAATAGGAAAAGGTCCAAAGTTGAAGGGGTGGCGGGAGGGGAAGGGGAAAGGGAAGAAAGGAAAGGAACATTTATGAGAAAGAAAGAAAAAAAGGAAACAAAGTCTATGTAACTAGGGAAGGGTGATGGGGGTGAAGGGCGCGTAGGTAATGGGGAAAGAAATAAGAACTAAGATACTTCATGTTCAGATACAAGCACCCAATGATAAATGTAAATGTATACCTAAAATGTACCAATTAATATATAAATAAATTTTTTTAAAAAGAAGAAAAACTAAAAAAAGAAATTATGCTGGGAAAACTGTCTCTCCATATGAAGAAGATCAAATCTATACCCATATCTTTTAGTATGTACTAAACTAAAATCAGAATGGATCAAAGATCTGAATATTAAGACAAAAAACTTAACCTGCTGGGAGATAAAATAGGTAAAACTTTTGAAGACAAGTGTAGGCAAGGACTTTCTGAACAGAACTCCAATTATATAAGAAATAGCATCAAGAATCAAGAAATGGAATTATATCAAATTAAAAGACTTCTGCACAACAAAGGAAAAAACCAACAGAGTGAAATGACAACCTACAGAATGGGAAAATAAATTTGCCAGCTATTCCTAGGACAGAGGGCTAATATCTACAATATAGAAAAAACTTTAAAAATTAGACCCCCAAAAGACCCAATCAATAAAATAGGCAACTGAAATGAATAGACACTTCTCAGAAGAAATACAAATGATCAGTAAATACATTTTTTAAATGTTCAGCATCTCTGACCATTAGAGAAATGCAAATTAGAACAACACTGAGATGCCTTCTTACTCCAAAAAGAGTGACTATTAATTTAAAAATCACATAATAACAAATGCTATAGAGACTGTAGGGAAAGAGGATTGCTTCTACATTGTTGCTGGGAATGTAAACTAATACAACCACTATGAAAATCAGATGGAGCTTCCTCAAAAAAATGAAAACTAGAAATTCCATTCAACCTAACTATTCCCTAATATCTTTCCAAAAGAGAGAAAGACAACATATATAGTGATACATGCATATCCATGTTTATAGCAGCACATCTTATAATAGCTAAATCTTGAAAGTGGCCCATATGTTCATAAAGAGATGAATGGATAAAGAAAGTGTGATGTTTATACACAATGGAGTACTACTCTGCCATGCCATAAAGAGGGATAAACTTGAGTCATTTGTAGGAAAATGGGATGCACCTTCAGACAATAGTGTTAAGGAACTAAATCAGACACAGAAGGTTAAATATCACATGGTTTCTCTTATATGAGAAGCCCAAAGTAAAAATACTGTAAATTAAGGAGCAAAATAAAAGATAGGAAACAGGTAGATAGATCTTTTGCAAATACGAAGAAGACCAAGAGATGGAGGGAGAGGGGAGGAAGGAGAGGGGAAGGGAACATAGAAACAATTAAGATGTGATGTGTACCAACTCCCCACAATGATTCATTATGTACTGCAAAGACGTACTAAAAAGAATAAATTTTAAAAATTTCGATGTGAGTTGCAGAGGAGACATACCATAGCAGTTAATATCACCATTGATTGGATCAGAAAAGTTTTTTTTAAGTATCAAAAAGCTGACATAGTGAGACAGTTTCAAGTTTTGCTTGACAGTTCAAATGTTATCATTGGCTACAAGTCCTGTCAGTGTTTCCTGTGCAGTGACAGACTTACTTCATTCACATCCTGCCCATACCCAAGTCTGAATAGCAATCATTTCATAGTGAGCTCCTCAGATAAAAGTGATGTCCACGAGTAAGCTCTGGTTCTGCTGACCACTCAGTCTCATGGGAGTTTCTGCTGGAAGCAGTGGTCATGGCTTTGTGTGAAGCAAAAACTTTAACTGCTTTACCTAACTTCACTTTTACCAAAGTATTTATGAGACTTGCACTCAGGGTCAAGATTTAAGTACAACTAATTGCTTTTAATATGTGATCAACCATATTCTTAAATGAAACTAGCATTTTTAAAACTGCAAGCGTGTAGCAGTGAAGATTACAGTGACTGCTAGGATAGTTTGATGATGCCACCCAGACTCCAGCTAAGGAGCCAGCAGTACACCCACCATTGCCTTTTGTTGTAGTCAGGGTTTTGGTAAGGTAATACATTTACTACAGGACACATAGTTTATCTGATTATTTTATGACAATTACCCAAAAAGTCTAATGCAAAGGAGTGCAAGAGATAACAGCATACTAGGGGCCCAGGGAATCCAGCTGAGGGCCTGGATCCCAGCAGTTTCCCACACAAGTCGAGCTAAAGACTTAGAATCCAAGGCAGTGTCCTCCAGGAGTCCAGCCAATGACCTAGAGCCCAAAGCAGTGTCTCATGCTTGTCCGTATTGAGGATCTGCACCTGGAAGGCCCAAAGGCCAGTGGTGGAAACCAGAAAACCTATTCCAGTGAGATAAAGGATTCGTGCCACCAAGCTGAGGGATCCACATTGGAGCCAGGAAGTGATGCTCATGGTGAAGATCAGAGCTCCCCTGATGAAAACAGCAGCCATTCCCAGTGACAATGAGGCCACGAGCTCCTCCTCCAATGAGAACAGCCCAGTTCGCATCAAGAAAACCATCCGCAACAAGCTTCTCCTAGAAAATCAACAGCCTAAGATCTTCCCCTTCCAGCTCTTTTTATGGCTATTGGTAACAATCCTCAGGTGGATCCTCCACGCCCAGACAACACTGATACAGTTCAGCTGGGTATTCAAAGTTGCCCTTTAGTCAATCCACCACACCTTTGAATTATCAGTGTACATATCATCATGGTAAAAATGCAGGTAGCATATTAGCAGTATTATGAAAGTAGTTTTGAGCTTGGAGACCCCATGAAAGGGAACTGGGGACCCTCAGGAATCCATCAACCACAGTTTGAAAATCTTTTGAGTTAACAACTTTGAGGAATAAATATCTTAAAGTGCATAGAAAAATTTGGGGTTTTGAGTTCTCATGTTTGCATGTTTAAATGCTTACGAGTTCATCTTACTTGATCCTTAAACCAAATTCTTAAACTTTATTTTGTAGATAAATCAATTTTAAATTGTTAGAAGTATACTCAGACTAATGAAACTAACTTGAAACTTCAGTTCATACTTGCTCTGCTTTTTTTTTCATACTTGCTCTTAATGCAGCTTACCTTTTATTCTCCACCTTTTCTGCCCTCTGCCCTTTACTCTGGATTAGTGAAGTTCTATTCCTTAATCGTGTTTCCACTTAACCTGAAAGCTACATGATAACCAGGCACACAAGTGGTGAGGCTAGTCAGTTGTGTGTCTCTAAGGAAGAAAAATGCTTCTAGTCACAACCAGAAAGCATTGGGAGAATTCAAGAAGGAAGTCGAAAACTTTGTTTGGCTCACATCTGAGGTGTTTTATAAGATAAATTCACAGGGAGAAAGATACCAACCAGCCTCAGTACATGGATTGATGTATTTAAAGCCTCCCCTTTTTTGGTAATGTTTCTTCCTCTCCCATTAGGATTGTCACCCAAGTGGATTAACTCTCAACCTGGCCCTTTGGGAGCCTCTAGATGCTGTGGCAAGTTCAAGTTGACAAAGACAGGATGAAGCAGAAATGCGGCTCAGGGTCAGGGTCCAGAAATGTCTTTTAAAGTAACACATGAGATGTTTAGGTATTTCCTCCCCTACCTTTTAGACATGGTCATTTTTTATTTAGTTAAAAATATATTTGTACATTCTTTTGAAATTTGATGTTTTTTAAAAATACAGGCCTTATTTTAACATTTGTAAATACTGTATAACTCTGTAGTTATCCCAACTGTTAACTTTATATTCAAAACAAATTTATTATTGCATCTCCTTTTCCTGTATATATGGTAAAAAAATATAAGAATGAGCCTTGCCTATTAACCTAGCAACTCGAGTCTGGGGGCAAAACCAATAGCTATCATGTTTTCTACTGAATGAATGAAAAGATTTCACTGTTAAAACCAAAGAAAGCTACCTTTGCAGAAGAGAAACTGATAAGACAGTTTTCCTGTCTTCACTAGAAGCGAAAAATGGGAACGTTGGCAAAATCATACCTCTGTTATGAAGCCTGGCTTCCCTAAATCAGACCGATACCTTAACTTAGACAAATTTTTTCTCCTACAACAAGTGAAGAAACACTAAACCTAAGTGGTCTGCATGTCTCATTCTTTGGCAGCCAGGCCTTACTTATCTGGCTGTACCTGTTTTCACTTGTGTGCATCTTCTTTGAACTTACCTCTCTGTTTTCTTTCATTCTTGTGTAAATTTAGAAACATTGTCTGACAGATCTAACACTTTGGTATTTTTTGGTATTTTTCTTCTTGTGAATTCTTCTTTCTTCAGTCCTAGAGTGAGGAGGGGGAGGCAGGTGTATGTTCTGGGCCTGGTCTGGGTGTGTTCATGGCTGTGTGGTCATCAGGACTTCTGCTGTGTGACCTCAGCTGAGTCTTCTCCAAATTGAATGGTTGGATCAGCCCTAGGCAGTCACTACCATCTTGGCAAGTTTCTGTGGCTTCCTGTGCTTTTCTAGAACTTTGTTCCGCTGTTCAGCCAGTGACTATACCCCTGAAGTAGATGGCATGTTGCTTGAAAGCCCAGTGTTCACAAGAGATTCTTGGAAGGTACTGAGAGTCAGTCCTAAATCCCATCCCACTTTAGAGGTTCCTAAAATGGAACAAGGGGCTCTGAGTTAAGTTGAAAGGTAATTTAGGTAGTATATCTTTTTAATTCTTTTTATGTCTGAATTTCTTGACTGGAATGCTTGCCTTCTGACTAGAGTGATTTTTTTTTTTTTCAGGGAAAGTATCAGCCCCTAGATCAAGTTGTGATGGATGAAGTGTTTCCAAATTGCATCTTGTTGCTGAAACTTCCTGAACTTGAGAAGTTACTTCGTCACGTGACAGAAGAAAAAGGTTTGTAATGTGGACCTTAAAAATCAGGCTATAGTTGATAGAAAAAGGTTGAGCCTTTGAGAATGTAGCCACTTAAAGACTCCCAGCTATAAGACTTTTCTCTCTCTCTTTTTTTTTGTTTGATATCAGAAATCGAACTCGGGTCCTTACATTTATTTGCAAGGCAGGCGGTGGAACCACTGAGCTAAATCCCCGGCCCTTCTCTATCTTTTTTATTAGTATATTTTAGATATACATAATGTTGATAATTATCATAGGGAATTTGTACCTGTATGTGATATATCCTGCTGGTACTTTTTTCCCATTCCTCTCCCCTCACTTCAACTCCTCTTCCCTTCCTTATTTACAAAAGCTTTGTTTCCATTTTTTTCCTCCTATTCTTTTTTTTCTCCTATGTCCCTTCCTTCCTTTCCTCTTGCCCTCTCCTGTGTTCCCCTTCTCATTTGAACATTTTCATTTCATTTCCTAATATTTATTTTACATTTTGGTCCTTATTTACATTTTCAGTTTCTTACATCAGAGAAACAATTTGGTATTTAAATATGTGTGTCCAGTTTATTTCACTTAAGAATATGGTCTCAGGGTGCATCTATTTAGCTATAAATGTCTCAAGCTTATCTTTCTTCATGGCAGAATGTACTGAATTATATAAAACACATCATCTTTATCCATTCATTGGTTGATGGGCATTTGGGCTGTTTCCAAAATTTAGCTATTACAAACTACTGCTGTAAACAGGGGTGTGCATAGGTTGCTGTAGTATGATGATTTTAATTCTTTCAGAAAGATATGTACGTAGAAGGGGAATAGCTAGGTCAAATGGAACCTCTACTTTTAGGGTTTTAAGGAATGTCCACACTGATTTCCATAGTGGTTGCAACAGTCTACACTTCAAAAGTGGAGAAGGGTTGCTTTTTCCCCACAGCCCCACGAGCATTTGTTATTGGTTGATTTCTTCCATAATAGCTATTCTTTCTGGAGTGAGATGGATTCTCAGTGTTGTTTTAATTTGCATATCTCGAATGACCAGTGAAGTTAAACATTTTTTTATGTATATATATTTTTTTATTAAATGCTTTTATTGGTACATTGTAGGTATACAACACAATTACATTTCTCATTGGGAATTGTACCTTTACATAATGCATCTTGGTT